ATACACTGAAACATATTAGCGCACCATCGCGCCGGGGATCCGCGCTGTCAAATACCCGCAAATAGAATGACAGATGAATGAATATAAGAAACAAAAAGAATTCATAGTAATAGTTTTAAGTTTACTAGTTGCGTTACAGATGATTTTGTAGTGATAGTTTTTTAAATTAATATCATACCAATGCTCAAAACACGCCCTAGCCGAAACCTACGAGAGTCTTTATATTTATTTTTCTAATCATACCAAATGAAGAGGGGAATGAGTGAAAGTTGAGATCGGACTTTCGTTTCATTGTACTAAAATGATTGAGCTACCTATTAATAATATATTATTTTGTCAGTGTTAGAGAATTTTCACTATAACAAAATAACATTTGAACAACAACAATGAATTTCAATGTCACTTTTCCAAATAATAGGCGAAAACTAACGCACTACGTTTACAATATAATTTATTATGTTAACTTAAATAGAAGTAAAATTACAAAAACATGAATTTAATATTTGTTTTTACTTATTTTAAACCAGTCTTTGACCACAATCCCACCTGTTGGTAAGTGGTGATGAAGCCCTTGATTGTAATCAGTACTTTCTTAGCGTAACAAAAGCAAATTTAAAATTAAATTAAAAACTTTATATTTCCTTTTTATTGAATAAAAGAAACAACACGCCAGGGAAATAAGCAGTGAAACTTATAGAAACAGAAGAAAGTTCTTGTGTTAGTTCTAAAAACGAATGATACCTAGTGTCACTTATTGCCGTACTTATTGCCCATCACTAATCATGTACAACTGACAGCTGTCAGAAATGCATTCTCCCTACGGCCGTAAACTTCCATTGTTTGAAAATAAACTAAAAAGAATAATATTTTGTTGAAATTTTTCACGATAATAGAATTAGGTGCTTCTTCTTCTCTTCTATAAGAATAATATAAATTATAGTCTCTTAAAGAAGGCATATTTTCACTATGTAACACAAAACTAAATTTATGTATACGTATGTAAGTATCTCTTATCACGCAATTTCTCACCCTGTCATTCAGATTCAACCCTAGCATATTCCTTAAAGACCGCATTTCTACAGCATTTATTCTACTTTCGTGCTTCTTCTGCCACACCCAGCTTTCATCTACGACGTTTTTTGCCACCAGGGAGGCGCCATTCAAGAAAGGAAAGGATTGGACAGATGTCTTAGTTTTTAATTTGTTAGAAATGTGTGTAGTTTTTAGTTTCTTTCTGAAATATTAGTTATTTTTATATAGATTAGATTAGAAATAGATAAACCAATCTACATATTATATTCCTTAATGTAGAATAATAAAACAAAGTTAAAAATGTTTGTGTAGAAAACATGAGTAAAAAATTAAAGAACAAAAGACATGGGGCATTGTTTTGTGTATATACAAACAACATAGAAACGTAATTCAAATTAAATATCAGTTTTTCAATGATGATGACACTGTCACCATTGCGTGTGAAATTCAACCAGTCTTACAAAAATATTTATATTGATTACTGAATGTGATTATTAAATTTTTCATTTGAAACAAGTAGTAATTAAATAGCCTCAGTGTAGGAAATATAAAATGAAGATCCTTTGCATATAGGACTATGAAAGCCCATTGTTGAACGTAGGCCTTATTTATAGATGGGATTCATGGAAGGGATTTTTCTAGTTACCACGCTTAACACGTGGGTTGGCAACCGTAGTTTTCTTGAGTTGTTATGTTGTTATGTTATGTCTTCATTGGGGCAGTGCAGCGAACTTTTCCTTGCCTTAAAATCCTCTCAGAAATGAGAGGAGGCCTGCGCCCAGCAGTGGGACGTACTCGTATGTAGACGGTGCTGCTGACCGTCTGTTTTAGCTTCCCTCTGTCGCTTCTTACGACACTCATGGGACAATATGAAGTTGTGGATGATTATACACCGCACTACACAAAAACGCTTCTCAGTCTTTGTCCGAGATCAGTTGTTCTAATAACGTCTGATAAAGGAGACAATCGTTTATGGGAACACTAGAAATTTTACCTTAACTTAAAACTATTACACATACAAAATTGATACCAATTTATTAAAGTAAACGGCCTAAATATTTAATGAAAAGATAACCGGAATCATGAAATCTGACAAAAAGAATTGTTTTGATATTCGTGTTCTGGCTAATTTAATATAAAAAACATGCGTGTAACGAAACATTTTATTACATGAACATATTATATATTTGTATATTATATATTTACTACTAAAACCAGATACTACTAAAAATTGTTTTAACCCTATTTCTAAAAAAATAATATCGTATAATATCGTTCAAAGTGATCGTAGAACGAATCGTATAAATACCCCTATATTGTCACTGACTTCCGGGTAAGGGTAATATTCGTGTTCTGGCTAATGTAATATAAAAAAAATATACGTGTAACGAAGCATTTTATTACATACACATATTATGTATTTGTATATTATATATTTACTACTAAAACCAGACACTACTAAAAATTGTTTTAATCCTATTAAAAAAAAACTAATATCGCATAATATGGTTCAAAGTGATCGTGGAACGAATCGTATTAATACCCCTATATTGTCACTGACTTGGGTACGGGTATTACTATACGGCGTTGATGTTCGTCACGTTGCTGCTTTTCTGTATTCATTTAATCATCATCTTCATCATAAAGCGTGTTTAGGTAAAATTTTAAATGAACATATTATTCCTTAGTCATCTCGGCTTTTATCATATTTATTTAATTACTGTAACGGTGTATGGAATTAATACTCACTAATCAATCAATACATATAAAAAAGTAGTTTCTACACCACGTCTGTCCGTGTACAGTACACAGGCACACGTCTGTTTGTCTGTGTACAGTGTACAGCACACATTTTCTGGACCTACTAAAAGGATTTTCCACCAATCTTAAAATACCTGAATTGCCTACAACTTTGTTTCATACTATTAATTATTGAATAGTTCACTATTTTAACTATAATACCGGTGTAAACTACTAGACAATCGCTTTTAGTTTATTTTTAGGCTAATGTGATGTTCATATTTTAATTGTTCATTTCTCAGTATTCCATTAGATGCAATAAAATTAATATCTCTATTAAAATCCGTATTAATTGCCCCAGTCCTGTGTTCTTTAATTTTTTTTACTCATTTTATTTAATCTATAGACTATAAGGAATATACCGACATGCATTTCATTAAGTTACGCAACAATTCGTGGTGGGCCCATTTCCCGTACAAAAATAAATTGTCTCCTTTCAGATTATTCAAACGTCTGGAAGTGAGTTAAAAATAAATTAGAAAATTTTCTTTCATTCATAATTACATAAATATATAAAGGTTAGCTTAACTAATTTAAAGCGTGTAAAAAACGTACGAGTTTATGATCCAAACTAATCAAATTTAGAAGTGCGTGAAACCCTTCTCGTGTTTCCGATACACAAGCTAAAATCAGGTCAAGTTAATATAATTGAAGATAAAACATACCCCTATAACATTTTATTGGGACGCACAAGAAGTAAGGTTTACTCTCTACCCACATCAACGTTTGATGAAAATTGTCATATGCGGAATTAGTTTCTTGAAAGGTTAATTTTAAAGGTTTCTAAATTAGACATTATATTGACAATGTGATAGTAGTTTTTTTTTCTCTATGGTATTCCCATAATCTAACTCGTAAGGGCTTATGAGGCATTAAGTCTGCAATTTGTAATCTCTAGCTGAAGTTAATTGCAATAACAAAAATAATTATATAAGCCTCCCCATAGATTATTTCATATTTACATGCTACGTATGGATCAGCTCGATCAAGACAATACCTGTCACAGAACAGTATGGTGAGTGTAGAGAACTGGAGACACTTTTTATTGCAAACGAGGTGTTTTTATTTCCTCAGGGGAGACAACTGTATTTTGAATCTTAACTGATTATAGAGGGTTGTATGCTCGTTATCCTATAAAACATTTGCCACATTTGCCACATTTGGCAGGCGCAGGCGGAAAATGCTTGCTCTTCATTTCTGTTCATTTCCCTTTGTTGTCCGTTACGACACCCAATAGGATAGTGGATTCTCTTACGCTACCACTCCCATGTGCTTATTTCTCAATGTTAGAAGGATTGAGTAAATGAAAATATAAAAGAAAAAGTTAAAGAACGCATGAATTTTGTTTTCGTTTAATGACAGTAAGGTAAGTTGTTAGAGATCCAATATATGGTAACATCCTTATAACTAATTCATGGGATTTTTATAGCCTATATAAAACCGGCTCACTTCTATCTCCGAGTTCCTTTCATGAATGCCTAACAATGCTCTTGAACGATTGTGTCACATGAAACGTGAATTAACTAGATAGGTAAAAGAGGATCGGGTTCGTAATTCTTTACAGGTATAAAAGTAAATAGACATTGTAAATATTTGTAACTACCTTTACCTTTTATTTACAACTATCGAAAAATCACTTTAATTCAATTTTTATAGTATTTTAACAAAAACTATGTGTGGTACGGGAAAATATTTAAATTTAAAAAAGCTTATCAATTTAACGTATGAAAATTCATATTACCCTTAACATTCATCGTTTTGTTTAAAATAATTTAGAATAAAAATTATCAAAATCCATTTTTCCATCAAAACACTAAGTGATGAAAGATAATAAAGTTGTGTTCAAACTTTTTTCATAATATGTTCTATAGTTTATGAGATATGTGTAATAAATTTATGCATGTCACCTTATTGTGACAACAACAGAGTAAATCCACTTGAAAGAGATCACAAAAGGGAATCTGAAACAGGAGATTCGAAGCAATATCTTCCTGACAGCAAGAAAACGGAGTAATAGATGATTGTTTTTCACCGCTAAGCGAAGTTTAAACAGTTTAAAATTTCAACTACTACTTCAGTGTTGCTGGTGATATAACAAGAGATTGTTGGTTATACCACACACACTGTTCGTCCAATTTTGTATTTTAATGAAAAACATATTAACCTACCTCGAAATTGTTGTGTACCGAGTTAACTTTGGGTTTCCATTTGGACTCTCAACTTCTTTTACTTCTTCACCGGACACTGTAACAAAATAAAAAACAAAAGTTATTAAAGTTTACACATAGAGTTGAGTAATGTACATAATATTAAGTAAATTTGAGATATCCATAATTAACTTATAGTAAAAAGTAAAATCCGGTTTTAACAAACAAAAAGAAACTTAATATAACTTCTAATTTCTGAAATATATGAATATGATTAATAAGATCCTAAAGAAAATAGAATTATAAATATACGAACACTGATTAATCCGTCCTTACGATAGTAACGTAGACTTTTACAATTCACTCAAGAAACTCGCAAAGTTGGGAACAAACAAATTGGATAAAGGGCCCATATTAGTGAAACGACTATAATTCTGACTAAACTGGCACGCTTCATTGCTCCGACGGATCGTATGAAAAGATAGAATCCGTTCGCAAAGTTTTCAGCCGTTAAAAATCTCTTTCAATCTGTCGCGACACTAAAGGGATTTTCTCAGAATCCTCAATCCTGATCCCCGTATCACGGCCTAAAGGATAAAATGCACTCATCTCCAGCTCCCACATTCGTTAGTTAACCCTATAATGCCCGGGAGGCGGATTCAAGTTAATTTCAGCAATTTGGCTTTCGGTATTCCGTCGAGACTAGATATGACAGCGACACTCCAAGAGACTCCACTCAGACGTTTCAAGTCGCTTTCTAAGGGTATTCCATAACACTTTCTTCGATACGATACTATTACTTTAATGGTTGTAATAATTCCTGTACGTACGTATACAGTTAATATTGTATATCGTCTTGATTGCTAACATTATCGATAGTAGTATAGTTGTTACCAATCTTTAATGGGGTACTTCTACTTCTACCAGAGTATAATAAAGATATAATTGTGTATGGTATTAAATAATGAATTTACTATCATACACAATTCTATATTTAGTTTTTAAATAAACAGTGCTCGACATTATAGATAATTTCTTCGAACGATAATCTTCGCGTTGTTATTGCAAAATTCAAACCTTTCGATAATACTCTAAATGTTGACCATCCAGACTTTGTTTTAGACCGCGCTTAATCTATGATCTGGGTTTGTGGTCAGCTGTTGCGTTTCGTTTTGACGTTGACTCAGATGTTTGACATTTCGTCGTAAATTTTTTATATTTTTCTATATATATCTTTGTATTCGTTATATTTACTAATTTCTTGTTTATTTAACATTTCGATGCAAAACTGCTCTTAAAATCACTAGATGATGTGACTATGGATTTGTTTACGACATGTAGATTGGAGTGTTTTTGTTGGATTACCGTTTGTCACAACTTTTTACTTTCCTGATTAAAGATCTAAGCGCTTCCTCGAATGTCTTTTTTGGTTGATATTTTAACAAACGTAGGAATGAGATTATGGTCTCGGCATCTCGTCAAGAAATTTGAGGCTGTTAGATATCTTGCGCGCTTAGTCATGAGATCGTCTAATCGGCAAATTTTATTTGCAATTACCAGTCCGTACTGGTTTACATAATGATTTCTTATATTCACGCGAACTCTACACATTTAAATAAAACTAGTTTTTACGGGTTTAATCGCATATATCAACTTATTTTCTATATTAACTTATTACAAGACTTCACGATACTACAAACTCATACTGCGTAGATCGGAAGAAAAATTTATAATTTTAATTTAGAGGTAGTCGTGGTAAACTATGATATTGGGACGTCGAAACCTCAGTCTCCCCGTGATCATGGGTGCTGTAAAGTGCTTAAAAGGTCGGAAATATAAAATAAGTTAATAAACGCGATAAAATCCGTAAAAACTAGTTTCATTTTTAAGATTTACCGTGTGGAAATAAAATTAATTTAATGAAAAAACAGCACATTCGAAAGTCAGTACTAAGACATAGTATAAGAGCATAGACATTCAAAGGACCGACTTCAGAATGTGAATTTATGTTAATTTTCAGCTCTTTCAAGTCGACTTTTAGTTTTTTAGTTATTATTTTGTACCCTTTTGTATGAACTAAGAAATACCACAATCTCAATGTCATCTGAATAGTTACATTGAAAACTTTATACTGTATTTCGTCACCTTTATACTTTTCTCCATATTTTTATTACTCCTGAAGACCCCTATATAATGAAAAGAATACTCAAAATGGGTGTACAATTTAAGAAGATATTGCGTAATAAACAAACAAAAAATACAATCAAATTGAGCCCCTTCCGTTTTTGAGTTCGGTTAATCAAATGTTAGTTTTTAGTCTTTGTAGGATGTCAAGTTGCACAAGAAGTCGAAAATATATCTTCCTGAGTTGTCAATTTATAATAGCAAGATTAATTTTTTACCAGTAAGCATTACGTTTTTGTACGTGGGTCGGCACGACCAGATAAGCACAACTTTTTCGCAAACGCCAGCGTAAAATAGATAAATGATGCTATGTTTCATATTGAATGACAGGGACATTCAGTCCCTATATTGATTGAGAACAAATGTGTCTATGGGCTACAACATTCCCTCACCATCAGGTGAACTGCGTGTTCTTTTGTTATCTACGTTTATATGAAGAGTGATTATAAATAAATTATACTATAATATACTTATATATTTATATATAATATATTATACTATAATATAATTATACTTCAAGAAGTCTACATCGAAACCATTTCGCCGTATTTTCTAACTTTTCCTATTTGATCACTGGAAATATTTTCGTCTCTGATTTTGACGTGTCAATAAAAAGATTGGATAACTTCGCGAAATTTTCATTCGATCACGAAATTACGAACTGTCGTTTACAAAATGGCAGCAATTAATTACGTTCCAAGAAATATGAAGTGCAGGAAGCCGGGAAATATTTTTAATAAATCTGTAATCATCAAAACTTTTTGAATTTCCTTACTAATTTCAATAAAAAGAATTTGTTAACTACTTTCAGCATAGACAAAAAGTAATTTATAATAAATAAATAATAATACGTATTGAACGTTACTCTTTTGTTCAATTTACCACTGGTTAAGTTCCGCAAATAACCTCCTCTCATAAATTCCTTAATATTATAATAACCCTTCTTATACAAACCTTGTTTAATAATGTTTTTGAACGTTAATAAGGTCAAAGGAGATTTTTCTGTTTCTAGTGTTTACAGAATGAATATTATTTTTTTTTTAAATAATTTTATTTTTATTTACATACATAAATACATTTTTCGTAAATGTATTGAAAGGCAAAGGTTAATGCAATAAATGCGTTAAAGTTTTAGATCATAGTTTGCTCTTACGGCTCTCTTCTGTAAAATAAATATAATATATTGTTCAGTGTCAGTCGCGTGTTCCCCTAGCAAAATACTATACGATATTATGCAATGGAAAAAGCTAGTTTAGCTGAACTAGTCTAGCTGTTTAAACACAAGTAAGATTTTTAATCTTTTTTACAGCATATACTGCAGAACTAAGTCTGCTTACTAGTTTTGATATATGCGAGCCCCATTAAAGATTCGCTAGTCTAGTGTAATTCCAAAAGATGTGGTGGTATCGACAAGGCTCAGTACCTCCCCATTTATAGTTACATTAGTATTTAGATGTTTGACATTTTAAGTTATGAAGTTAGTTTTAGTGCCCAATTTACCAACCAATTTACTAATTTATTGAAAGCATTACTTACTTCATCATAGTAATTGTCGTTTTTATTCTAAAATTTATCAAGTATCGTATATATCTATGAAATCACAGGTACAGCAAGTCGCGTAAGATGACTAAATTAGTCCAGTTCAATCTCGAAAAGACACAAGTTTGCGCGTTTACCGCTAAAAAGAACCGCTTCGTCGTATCTCTTCAGTTTCAAGGCACTCCCCTTGTTGCTTCAGCCAGTATCGGAATCCTCGGCGTCGCCATATCGAGCACGTGCAGTTTTGTGGTCACTAGGAAAATATGGCCAAATTGGCCTCTAAAAAACTTGGCGTGCTCAGCAGATCGAGACAGTATACCGGCATACCGTCTGCAACTTTACAAGGTGCTGGTTAGGTCGCACATGGAATACTGTTCCCAACTCTGGGCTGAGGCTACCTAGTGCCGGCTCCTTCCACTTGATCGCATCTAGCGCTGAGCCGTTAGAACCGTCGGCGACCGAGCTCTTTCCGATCGACTTGACTCACTGCCACGGCGGAGATATTGTGCATATCTTTGAGTGTTTTATCGCATTTACCACGGGGAGTATTCTGAGGAATTGTTTAGACTAATTTCAGCCGCAGAATTTCACCATCGCACATCGCGACAAAGCTCGCGATACCATCCATACTATCTTGATGACTGGTGGTCCACCACTGTGCGATTTAAAAGAAGCTTTCTTCCTTGCACAACTTGCTTGTTGAATCAACTACCACCAGAATTTTTTTTGGATCACTACGACTTAGGGACCTTCAAGAAAAGAACCTACACTTTTTAAATGCCGGTAATGCATCTGCAATTCCCCTGGTGTTCCATTGCTCATGGGCGGCGGTAATCACTAACCCTCAGGTGAGCCGTATGCTCGTTTGCATACGTCTACCCTACCGTCTACCGTCTACCGTCTACCCTCTCCCATAAAAAAATCTATATATTGTGTTTAGCAGTGGACCATGACGGAATGTAATAGTATGCAATAAAATCCAATTTTGTTGTGTGAAATGTAACGTTAAACAGAACAAGCGACTCCGGTCGTAATTTTAAAATAACACAATCTCCACAGAGACCGATAGAAAACAATTGGTTAATTACAGCAACATTGGTAAATATGAATTGAATTTTCAATGCGCTGGAATAACATTTAAATTTGGAGAATTCCAGAAACGTATTAGTTTATTAAGGCAATCATTTTGAATAAATTTTATATGTTATTATCGTTGTTTAAAAATAGTACTGTTAGTTAGATATATTTAACTAATAACTATTGTTATTATTTTAAAGTCCACAGCTGGGCTCTTTATTAAAAATAAGTTACAATCACTACACTTTTGCCAGACATTTCTTCACCCTTTACGATATTCTCCGTCTACAATATGGG